GTAAATGTTGATGGACAGAGACTTGACTTAGGGTAGTGAACACACAATACAGTGTACAGATGGTGTGCTGTAGAATTGTGCACCTGAAATCTGTATAATTTTGTTAACTAGTGTCACCCCAATAAATTCAATAAAAAGGGGAAAAAGAATAAGAAGGATATAAGTACTAGAATAGCAAGGGGGTAGCACCCCCAAAGTAAATTAGTTATTAGTAAATAACTAATTTACTTTGTGTGGAGTGGCACTGGGAAGACTATACACAGTGTATGTCTTTTGAACTGGGTCTTCAAAAACGTGTCTGCCATACAGAGAGAATAGAAAAGTCCTAGCAGGTTGAAAGTATAAGGCAAATACAGGAAGTAGCTTAGGATGCATGTGATGGGTAGGGGAAGGAGTTTGCAAAGATGCACTAAAGCCAGATGAAGGATTGTATTTGGGAGAAACTAAAGACAGGGAAACTAGTTGGGAGATCATGTTATATATCAGGTGATTGGTTATGAATCTGAAGTGATCCTGGAAAGAGTAATTAATATGTAAGACATGGACAAGGTAGAATGAATTAGCTACTGAGGATAGAAAAGACCTCATCAGTGACTTTACCATTTCTAGTATGCCATCTGATCCATAATGGTTTCATTAAGAAGGAAAGAAAATGCAGGAGGAAAGGCAGAGTTTGGAAGAAAAATTGAGTTTGTTTCTTATGAATTAAGAAGAAATGATCCATTAGTTATCTACAACTATAGATCTAAAGATAAGGAGAAAGGTGAGGGCTAGAGATTTGATTTGCAGCTCATTAATATTTACTTGACATAAGTCAAGCAGAGAACTGGATCTACTCCCAACATGTGTGTCTTGGGGAGACTGGACTATTGAATGAGGATTAGGCTGAGATGATTTGTGAGGCTCCTTCTGGGCCTTTGAGTAACTATTAAGAGGAGGATAAGTGGTAGACTATGGGATAACCAGGAGACTAGATGCTAGTGAATTAGACATAGTTGGAATACCAATTTTGACAGTTTGGTTCTTAAACTTGTCTTCTCAAACGAGAAGCATATCATTAAAAAGGTAATTAAGAGAAAATTAAGCTCACATTATATATTAATTAGAACATTTTGGGGCTTATGCAAGAGAAAACAATTTGAGATAGCTTCAGTAAAATAGGAGACTTTTAAAGAATGCAGTGGTACTTCATGGAAGCCTGAGGTAAGAATGCTACTTAACCAGAAGGCAGACAACCATTGAGGATCTAGGCTCAGTTCCACTCTGTCTGCCTCTCTTTGTCTCTTCCTCTCCAGACGTGTTTGTTTCTTACTTCTCCTGATGGCATAAGCTCCTAAATTGATATGTTATAGCTCTAAACATCCAGTTTTACTAATTCCTCCTTCTTATTCTATTACATCACCAGGGAGAGTCTCTGACTGGCCCAGCATGGGTGAGATGCTCCATCCTGATCTAATTATGTGTATGTGTGTGCGTGTGCATGTGTGTTTAGAGGGCCAAGGGACTCCAGGCCAATTAAATAATAATATATGGGGGTGGTATCCAGATATCAGTATTTTTACAAGTGTTCCAGTTTGGGAACCAATGACTTATACTCTGTTGTTTTTATAAAAATAAAGACTGTGGCAGGGATAATAATATGCCCCACCCCTATGACCATGTGCTAATATCAAGAACCTAATGGAAGTTTTATGGTACATAGCAAAGGCGAATTAGAGTTACAGATGCAATTAAGGTTGGTAATCAGCTGACTGTTGTAGACGGCTCTGCCTGGTTCTAGGAATTGTAACTCTCTACCCCCTGTGGCTAAGGATGAGTCAGTGACCTCTGGAATGCGAGCCACAGGAGACGAAGCTTGTCTCTGGTAGCAAATGCTGCCTCAGTTTCCTCCCTGCCCCCAAAGCTTGGTCAGAAATCAATGATGGGTAAGACCCCTCACAATGGGGGGCAACCTAGGCCAGACATGATCACTTGGGAGGCCATCATGGAAGGACTCGAGGGGTGGGGGCTGCAACAAAGAGCAAGGGACTCTTGCTCCCGGCTTTGAGATAGCCCGAGTCCCCATGTATTCTGGGAGAAGTACTTCCTGGCTCTAATCTCCTTAAGCCTGAATACCTGATGGGGAGGGTTGCAGCTCCTTGCCTTGCTAGAGCATGTCCTGGGGGAAAATCTGGCACCACAAAGACTTCCTGATAAAGCTGTGAAATCTGCTCTGCTAAAACTGTTTTCATTCATATGTTAAGGGTTCGAGCAGGAAACCCCAAAACTCTGTTCCTGACAGACTCTGACCCAGACTAAGCCCTCATATTTCTTTGAAATGTTATCTACTGTTTGATCCTTGCCACCCTGTATTCCTGTGTATTACAACCCAATAAAAAGTCCTTGGAGGAAGGGGCTCAATGCCTTTTTCCCCTGAGAAACTGTCCACTGCTCAAGGTCTTTTTCCTCTGGGAAACTGGCCATCTCTCCTCCCCAAGCAGATCACAATAAGTCTCAGTCGTGTTTACTCTCATCTGTGGCACACGGGCACTTTCAAGGAAAGTCGCTCCCACAAGCTGACCTTAAAACAGGGAAATTATTTTAGATTATCTGAATGAGTCCAATGTAATCCCAAGGGTCCTTAAATGTAGAAGAGGTGTATCCAAGTTAATTACTGGCTTTGAAGATGGAAGGGGACATATACCAAGGAAAGTGGATGGCCTCTAGAATATGGGGCAGTCAAGGAAAAGTATTCTCTTTTAAAGTCTCAATATAGGGATTCAACTCTACTGACACCTTGATTTTAGCTCAGTATGACTCTTTTCAGACTTCTGACCTCTAGAGCTATAATAAATTTGTGTTGTATTAAGCTATTAAGTTTGTGGTAAATTTTTTACAGCAGCCACAGAAAACTAATATAGATAGATATATTATTAAGAAGACTGGTTAATATTTAAATATGAGAGAGATAAAAGGTAGTTCCAGGGCTGTAGTCCTTAAATATAGGTGTTTCATAGTGAACATTTTTTTCTGTCTAGCACTTTTCTTTTCTTCTGGAAAAGAATCTCCCCCTACACTTGGTTTTCATTTAGAAAGTTTCTCTTCACTTTTTTTCTCCACTATGTGGTTCTACATAGTGGGGGGTATTATTTTTATGTCACACATGCACTTTTTCTCCAAGAATGCTTGTTATTCAGTCTCACCCAATCATGCTCTTTATCTGATAGTATAGAAATTGGAACTGAGGGTAGAGAGGCACATTCTGTCAGGTAACAATTTGGTAGGTGTGAGCTCACAATTTGTCAGAGGCCATGGCTCTATGCGTACAGAACATGACTCTCAGAGGTTCTGAAAGAATGACCCTGCTAGGAGAGGCTGGGTTGAAAGCCTAACCTGGAATTTGAAGCATTCCTGTTACTGGTTCAGTTTATTGCAACTTGGGTTACACAGTAACTTTCTCTTTTTGCCTAAGCCACTGAATTGTACTTTTGATCACTTCAAAAAATTTATCCTGACAAAATTCAGAGATAAAATAAGAAATAAACTCAGTAACCAAATGAAAGTTAACAAACATATACACATATCTATTAAGAATGCAAACATATCCTTTATTAACCCAATATATAGTATTAGCACCTTCTATATGTGAAACATTTTATTAGTGAAATGAATAGGACAAGGCCCTAGTTACTGGCACTTACAGATACATTATCCTTCAGAGTTTGTGTCTACATTTACCAATACACATACCCTCTTGTAATCTGTCCTCACTACAATCCCTCTATGCTTACTTGACAAATGAGAATTAGAAATGAGTTCAAGAAAGTCTGGTTCATAAAATAAACAAATGGAAGGACCACAGAGGTTTAATAAAAAATTTCAAGATATTCAGGTCTTTAACAGGCTCTCCCCTCAACATGCTCCTGTCTGGGTCAAAATACTTGCTTGGAGGGACTACTGGTTGGCCCTGTGGCAATTCCTTTATTCTTAACAAGCCCAATGTTTCTCAATTCCATCATAACTAAAGTAAAAAGAAGGAAAATAATTTGCACTTCAGGCCCACAGGCCAATTCACTTTGGATTCACTCAGGTGTATTTCTTTTAATAGCTGATCTGAAGGCATGTGAGATTCTCACAGCTGACCAGATTCTAAACAGAAAAGCATGGAACTTAAAACTAAGCATGCATGCAGATGGAATAATAAGTTAGGCTTCTTAAAATGCCAAATGCCGGAAAACCTGAAACCATTAGGGTAAATTCCACACAACACAAGTGGAGTATTCTGTTTCTCAGAGGGGCTTTTAGAAGGCTCAAATTCTAAGGTGGCTACCTAAAAAGCAGGGTCAAAGATGGATCTTATTTGACAAACCATGTTCTTCTTCCCAAGATATTTGGATATGTTTGCTCAAGATTCTTTTTAAGAAAAGAGCAGATTGTTGTCACCCAACGTCCAGAAATAGCAGTAACAGAGTTTGTTCTCAGGGTTAGGGCTGAGTTGTAACTGTGGGCTGTGGTTGCATCATCACCAACCATTATTCTGGGTTTGCACACAGCAAAGAGACACATTAACTAGTATGCCCTGTACATGTGGTCTGTGGGTGGAAAATCTACATGCTCCTCACCTTTGGAGGACTGAGGGCTGTGCACGTTAAGGAGAAATGCCCTGGAGTGGACAAGGTCTGGAGAGACAGGCATGAAAAAGAATGAAAGGCTAGTGAGGATCCAAGGTGGCTCCATGGAAAGGTGTGGTGCCCCGGGGTCTGGCTAGCTTGGCCAAGCCAAGCCGGGCTTTCTCGACAGTGTGTGGAGGTGCACCGAGGGACCTCGACCACTTCTCTTCCAGTGTTGCTATAAATAGATCCCAAGCGTGGAAAGCTCTAGCCTACGGCTCTGAACGCTTGGTCTTCCGGACCCAGGCGGTGGAGGCCCCGTCCCTCTCTTTCCTACCCAGCCTGGCCCCGCCCCTCTCTGAACTCCGCCCTTGCCCCGCCCCCACCGCGTCCCACGGTTCTACCCAACGACTCTGGGCTCCTGGCTCCACCGGGCTCCGTGGCAGTGAGAGCGCGCAGGCGCGGCTGGCGGTACGCGGAGTAGAGGCGCGGGGCGCGCGGTGAGGTGGCCGCGTGGGGTTCGCAGCTGAGGAACGAGGTTCGGCCTGAGCGTCACAAGAGGACTTGGGGTGTGTGCGGGTGGCTGTCCCGGGAGCTTTTGGTCCCGTAAGGAGAAATCGGCTAGACGGGAAGTAGAGGGGTTGGCCGTGCTGCCTGAGAGTGTCCGGCGGCCCCAGCCGCGTGGGAAGCAGAGTGCGTGGTGGTGGAAGTGGGTGAGGGTAAGTGTAAGGAGAAAAATTGAAGGAAAAGGCTCCAGAGGCTGAAAGTCCGTACTCAGGCTTGGCAGGATCGCGATGGTTGCCAAGTGCACTGGAAGGTGCCCCAGCTTCAAGTTCAGTACCCCCCATTTGGTTCGCCTGAGCAGCGTCCGGGGCCATCCCTTCCCCCGCGCTGCCGTCACTGAGTGCAGAGTTGCCAGGAATGTTCCTCTTCCCAGGGAAGAGGATTTAGGAGACCTGAGCTATCGCCCCAAGCTAGTGCCAAGGAGGGCGTGGTGTTCCTGTGACTTTCCTTCACCCAGCCCTAGGGAATGTGTCCCATCTTCTTCTGGTCCATTGTGCTCATGGACATTTTAACAAAGGCGATGACTGTTTTCTAAGCTGTGGCGAGTGACAGCGGGGGCGGATCGGTGGAGGGGGGTCGTACGAGGCCTCAGTGTGGCCTTAGGGGGCGGGGAACCAAGGAGGCTGGCATGGGGAAAGTGGAAGGAAGGGAACGATATTCTTGCCTCAGTTTTTTTTTCTTTCTCATCCTCTCATGTTGATCAGTGGTCGGAACAGCCTTGAGAGGGATATGATTGGAAATTTGTGTGTTCATACTTTGGCTGCAGCCATTGGTTTTTTAATTGGGCTGTTTATGTCTTCTTTAAATGTCCCTTCAGGAGAAATGCGAAACTAATGATATTTAAGAGGAAATAATTGAACAAAAGGGTGAAGAGGTGGAGTGTCAAAACTAAGAGCTAAATTAATCCTTGTGATAGTCATACTATAAATAAAGCCAGACTTTGAAGGATGTGAAGGTGCTGAAGTTAGGCTAAGTGAAAAGTTGATTAGGGTGCTGTTGATTGTTTCAGTCAAGAGTGGATTATTGGATATGTGTGTGTAGATGCTGGCAAGTTTTTGGGCAGACTCACTTTAGAACCCGTAAGAATGATACTGGGAATATAAAACACTAGGACAAATATCACAATATTTGATAAAGTTCCATGGCTTTCATTTTCAAACTTAGATCTTTATGAAAACTAATATATGTGTTCTCAGTCATAGATGTTACTTTTATACTCATTTGTTTTAACTTAATACAACAAAAACTGAACTTCCTCCTCCTCCTCCACCCTTTTCCCTTGATTGTGAATTCTGTTTTATAAACATTTACTTTCAGATCTGAAGTGTATTTAAAGGCACAACTCCCCCCAACCCAAGCATGAAGTGAACAGGTTTCTGTACCTGCAAAGCAGAGAACATATTTGGCTGTTAGTAACTTCTATTTTATTCCTTCTCCACTTAAATATAAGATCACTTTTTTCTTCATGTTACTTCTTAATTAAAGTTCTCATTCTCCGTGGTCTTTAGACTCACTTACTAAAGAAACAAATTCCAAACTACTGTGATTATACTTCCTTCTTAAAAGTTTCCTCACCTAGACTTCCTCCCCATATTTCTGGGTTTTCCTCTAATTATTTGACCAGTCAGGCTCAGTCATTTCCACTGAGACTTCTTAGAGTTCTATCTGAGACTTTCCCATTTTGTGCAAGAGACAATAATATGGTCGTCAAGGGCATGCAATTTGGAGGCAACCTATTAAAATTCTTTCTCTAGGTGTCCATTTCCTCATCTGTAAAAATGGTAATTATAACATTACCTGATAACTGAGTTAAAGTATATTAACAACTTGTCATAGTATCTAAGTATATTGTATATCTAAGTATAATACCTAAAATGGTGGCTATTTTTATTTGCTGTTTTTTATAAGAAACAATTTCAGTAGCAATTAACTTCAAAATGTTGTGGATGTATTAACATCTCCTACCCCGTTCAGACTCCAGTCCTATATTTGTAGATTCCACCCACATATCCTCAACAAGTAGTCTCAACAAGCACAGTGGTCTTCAGACATCAATATGCACAATAATCATGAAAATGTGCAGATTTCTGGCCCCCCCCCCAGAATTTCTGATGTCTAGGGTGAGGCCTGAAAATGTTCATTTCTAACAAGTTTCCAAATGATAACTGCTTGCTTTTGGATCACAGTATCACTGATCAAATGGCATTCAGACAAGTTGGCAGGAATAAAGGGAGACGAGACCAAAAGACCAAAAAGTTATCAAAGAGAGGAGTGTGCTGAAACCTGATTGTATCAGATATCATGTAAATTTTGGAAAAGATAGGTCTAAGAGGACACAGTTGGATTAGGTGACCAGGAGCCTTTTTGTTTATTTAATTATACACCCTGTGTGGTAGAACATTATCATTATTATGACCAGAAAAACATGACAGGTATTTGAGATAATGATTCTTAATTTTGGGTGTGTTTTATTAGACTTTCTTAGGGAGCTGTTTTCACCACCACAGTTATATTTAGTGTCCCTCCCCCTGATATAAACCCATTAAACTTGAATTTCAGAGTATAGAACCTAGGCATGGAAAAGTCCCAGGACATTTTGATGGGCATCCTAGTTAAGAACCACTTCTTTAGCAATGGTGGCCAGGTAGTGGACTCAGACAAAAGAAATTATTAATTTATGTCTTCTCTTTTTTGTGTAGCCTGGCTACAGGGTTATTGATTTTACAGATCTTTTCAAATAATCAGGATTTGATTTTGTTGGTTTTCTCTGATTACTTGTTTTCAATTTCTTTGATATCTGCTTTAATTTTTATTTTTTCTTTTGATTATTTTGAATTAAATTTGTTTTTGTCTAGCTTTCTAATGTGAAAGCTTAGATTGTTGATTTTAGATTTTCCTTCTTTTCATATGAGATTCAGTGCTATAAATTTCCCTCTTAAGCACTGCTTCCACTGCATCCCTTTGTATTTGATATATTGTATTTTCATTTAGTTCAAAATATTTTTTAAATTCTCTTGAGAGTTCTTTGACTCAAGTGTTATTTAGAAGTGAGTTGTTTAATCACCGCACATTTTGGGATTTTTTAGTTATTGTACTGTGTTATTGATTTCTGTTTAATTCCATTGTTGCCTGCTCTAGACATTGCATGATTTCCATTTGTTAAAGTGTGTTTTATGTCCCAGAATGTAGTCTGTCTTTGTGCATATTCAATTTAGGTGGAGAAAAATAAGAATTCTGCTCTTGTTGGATAGAGTAGTCTATAGATGTCAATTATAATCAATTGATTGATGATGCTGTTGAGTTCAACTATGTACTTACTGAATTTATTTTTTAATTAATTTATTTTTTCAATTATTTTTCAGCTACAGTATTCTTTACTGAATGTATGCCTGCTGGATTTGTCCATTTCTTTTAGAGGGGTGTTAAAGTCTACAACTGTGATAGGTGATTCATGTTTTTCTCCTTGTACTTCTATCAGTTTTTGCCTCATACATATATATTGAGGCTTGGTTGTTGTGTGCATACACGTGAAGGATTGTTATATCTTCCTGAAGAATTACAGTTTACTTTCAGTTTTATTTTGTACTGGTTTCAGGTGTTGATGAATTTTTTATTATCTTCTTGAAAGGTTTGGCAATTAAATGGGCCAGAATTTGAATAAGGATTTGATTTTCCTAAGTACATTTTGCAGTACCTCAGAATTTAGAACTTAATATTTCTTCAGGAAAATCTGTTGTATTTTACATTCCTGACTTGGACTAAGTTCCTTGTATTCTTTATTGTTGTTGTTGCCTTTTAAAACTGTGTCTTTAGGAGATATGTGTTATTTTCTGGAGTGCTGAGTAACCAAATAGCTCCATTTGAGTGACAAAGCCTTGTTATTCAAAGCACTGTATGTTCTGTGTGTCTGCTCCAGTCTGTCTCCATTGTGCCTTTTCTTTGTGGTTTGGATTCTGATGTTATGCATTCCAGTTTTATTTTAAAAAATCCATATGACTAACTTGCCACAGTAATCCTCTCTGACATGTTTGCTTCAGGGAGAAAGCTGGCAAAGTTAGAAACACATGACTAGTTTTAAAATTTGCTGTTACTGCAAAAAGAAAGTTAATGGAATATATTCCTAGGGTTTTTTTGTGTGTGTTAGTGTTACTCATGGGACCAGAATAATGATTTTGGCAAGCATAATTTACTTTCCTATGTAATTTTATCATAACTTCAGTATTTCATTTTTCCCTAGGATTTATCACAAAAATATTATTACATACAGAAGTAAAAATAATTATTTCTTTAGGCTCATAAGCAGTCTGAAAATACAAATGTTTTTGTTGTATTAATAGGAATTATATTGCAAAAATCATTAGGTTCTTTGAATTTTAAAGTTTCTTTTAAATGAAAATGTAGACATTAGTATTTATTATTAGCATTTATTTATATTTCTTTCTCTAAACTACAAATATTCACCGTTTTATAGAATTGACCTTTGCAAAGTTTTTAATAGTCCATTTCCACTGCTCTTGTCTAACTAAGTTCAGGGTTTATTACTTGTTTCCTAACACTCTAATCACGTCCTTTTTACTGGTCTCTCTTGTCATTTATTACCAGTCCCTAAAACAAATCTGCTCATCCACAGATACTGAAAGCCTCTAATTTGCAGGCACTACCCTTCATAGTGCTTCTAGAAGGGCCACCCACCTCTATAGACCTAAGCGCTTCCCCAAAAGTTGTATATGCCTAACCCTTCTGAGATAGCTTCCACTTTTTCTGTTTTGTGTTCCTCATTTGCATTGCAGTTCTTAATGGTTTAGTTGGAGCTAGCTCTCTGCAAGATTCTCTGCCTCACTAGCCAGGAATTAGAGCATCTACATTATCTTTATTTACTTGGCCTCTGCCTGGTTCCCAGCACCAGGAATCAGTGAACATTCCTGGACTCCTTGTCACTAGAGTGGGTGGACTTTAGTCTACTTTATCAGGGCT